ATTTAACATTTTAATTAAACTTATACAATCAAATATTTAAATATTTTATAACAATTTAATTAATAGAAGGGGTAAAACCGTAATTCAACTTTCAACTTTTTTTGTTCATGCTTATAGTAATACTAGTCAGGGACACGTGCGCTGCACGTGTGAGCCATGTTAAGTTGTATCATTCTCTGTGGAGAGACATTTGTAAAGCAGTGTTGTCATGAGTGGGTGCATTATTATTGATGTAGTAGAAGCGTACATTGTGTTCATTAGTCTTCTGATGATTGCATGAGATATTAGTAGGAACGCCAACATGAAGTTAATATGAAGTGTCAAAAGAGAAGTATGGAAGTAATGTAAACTATTATTAATAATAATAATATTAAGACATTAGAACGGAATACAATATCAAGAAAGCTCATAATAGTACTCAAAGAACTATTCCGAATATGATATTAACGCATTGAAGAGTATGGGTTGCTGAAGAATCCATTAAGTTTGCATAGGTGTGTCTGTGTCTTCTAAGCCTGAAATTTGAAGAAATGTAATGTTGTTAGTATGCATGATCTGTAAATAGTTAATTATCCGTGTTAGAATGGCCATATATGTATATGGGGTTATCGTGCCTAAAACTTCCTTATAGACGATGTTCTTTGTGTATGTTCCATTTTGACGTTTGGGTTGCTCTGTTAGGACAAGTACTTTTGTTGTGGACATAGATATCCCTCTTGAGAGTTCCACATACAATTGACCATGTGAGAAAACATGTTGGGGCAAATACAACATTTTGAATTGTTTGACCTTAGGCTTTATTTATAGTCATTGCAAAGCAAAGGCGTACCGGGAATTGCTTTCGAATGAATTTAAATGGGTATCCTTCATTTTCTGGTGGTGATAATTGAATTCTAGGAAGAAACACGTGGTTTGTTGCAGAATGACCACTTGATATTTCCGCATGCAGGACATTTTGGGAGAAGCCTCGACATATCATTCGTGTGCCATTGCATAAGCCACTTGAAGGGTCTAAATTCCTTAGCAACATGATGGGTGCATTTTCCTTCAATTCTAAATATTACATTAATTGAAGCAAGTTAATCCAAGGTGGAGAAATGTTACCAATTTTGGTGTTGCCGAAAGGAAGAAACCTATTAAAAGTAGTAGAACATGAAGAGATAATAAACGTAATTTCAAATAGAATTAAATCAATAAAAATGTAACAAATTATTATAATGGAAGTATTGCAAACGTATCAACCGCAAAACGGAAGAGTCCTTGGTGGAGAATCTATTGGCATATAACGGAAGTATTGCAAACGTATCGACCTCAAAACGGAAGAGTCCTTGGTGAACAATCTATTGGCATATTATGGCAATAGCTTAATTTTGTAATAGCTTAACTGGACGCGAATGCTAAATTTTCTACTACAGCATATATCAACAGCAGTATAGCTAATAGTAGTTTATTTAATTAGAGATTTGGAGATTATGTATTTCTTAATGTAAGGTATAGATTTGTTGTGTTAAAATAATATCTTCTTCGAATTCTGTATGTTTCTATTTTCTTGACATAATTATGGGTTACTAAGAATGCCTGAAGGCTAAATTCCCTATATAGTTTAATTGTTCTGTTAATAAAGGAGTCTTTGTTGCTGATTTTCACTCAAACTCAGGTTGGCAATTAAATTTCCGAGCAAGCTAAATGTTTGGGAGGTATAGGATTTTTTCCAATTGCTTCAGCAGCTGGAATCATTGTAAAACTTTCCTAATGTAAGGTATAGAATTGTTGTGCTAAAATAATCTGATCATTTTCTTCTTGAAATAGGATTTTTCTAGACTCAAAGAGAACATGCCATGTATATAATGACTTGCTCTTTCTGACTCCCTTAGGAATTTTGGTGTCCCTTGACTTTATCCCACCTCATTGCTCACTACGCTACACCTTTGGAAGAGCCTCTTAAGAAACAATTGATAAGTGCAATCAATACTTTAATTGAAGTGCTCTTTCTGACTTCTGTTAGGAATTTTTGGTGTCTCTTGACTTTATCCCACTTCATTGATCACTACGCTACACCTTTGGACGAGCCTCTAAGTAACTCTGCTATGTCTGTTTCATTGCATTACTATATTACCTCTGTTATTGCAGAATTTTAGTTATAAAGCTATACCAATATTTTTTGCGTCCTCTATCCTAAATTGGACGATTAACTTTGATTGGGCACGATCAAGGCAAAGACATGACCTGAAGTCTTAACTGTTCCAAATGGTTACAGCTAACTCATTGATGAATTTGAATTTTTAGCGTATGAAGTGTTTTAATGTCTATTTTCCAGTAATATGATATTCAAAAAGCATCAATTTTTTTTATCAGTAAGGTGCTTATGGACAACAATAGTTAGGAAACTAATCAATATAGTCAGTAGAAAAGAAGCAAGTTTTTCATGTTTGAGTTTAGATGATCACACTTTGCTAAACGTATCCAAGCAATATTTTGTTTTGTGTGAATTTTGTATGACCTTGTAAAGTTCCATCTTTGTTAAAAAAAAACAGCTACTGATCATATGTACAAGAGAGTTTGGAAAGAAGATCCTTCTTCAACTCTCTCTCTCTCCCTCCTCTCCAAGCAAAAGTGTGAGAAAAGAAACAAATGAAAACTGTAGAAATTCTAGTGTTGAGCATGAGGTAGGACCTCTGTTATAGTCCTTAATCAGAACTTATCTAAATGCTGAAATTTTTTTAACAACTGTTTGACTTAGAAAAAGTAAAGGAAAAAAAGACAGCAAAGCTGGCATTAAGACTGTCTAAAAGATATCAAGTAAAACTGATCGCAATGTGCGAGGAAACTAAGGGTGTAAATACATTTTCGATTAGCATCAAAACAGAGCAGAAGCAAAGCGTCAAGGTTAGGAAAGTAGATTAAAAACGCCCTCGCCTCTTGTCCCCTACAGCAGTAAAACACCTGCAGTATTTAAAAACCACAAAACAACATTTAACAGAAGTTAATGATTTAAAGTAAAAAAAGAACATTCGAGAAGATAAAAAGGAACTGAAGACTGCATAAACTCCAATATATGTTTTCCATCACGGGTTGTTCATATCATCCTGGATAAAACTTTCTACGATAGGACGTGTCACGGCCGGGATAAAACTCAGTTTGGTTACCTATTATCGGCTATCTTATTTGTTAGTGCACGTTACATGGACCAATATCATCTATTCAAATGTCAATTCAGAGCCCATAAATATGTTGTTTTTACATTGGATGCGAATCCATTTATGACGGTCCTTGATAAAATATATTTACTCAAAGAACTGTGCAAGAAGAGATTATTTAAGAATTAATGCAATGGAACAATTCTGGATGAAGTTGATTACTAAATTGCACCACGGCCAATGAGTAAATTATTGCCAAAAATTGTTTAGAGTAAAGTGGAATGGATAATTGCTCGATTAATTTGTTCAAAAGAACACTCTGTTGGCTGCTTTGTCACGGTCAAGTTAAGGTGGTCATGTCATAGTTAGTTGGACTTTTAACTAAAGATAATTTCTTAGTCTCCGGTTGCCATTGCATTGAATTGGTCACTCTAGGAGAATGATAATTTCTGCCTGGCAGAAACTAAAAGCTATCAAGTAAAAGTGATCGTAATGTGCGAGTTCATATAAGACCATCTAAAAGCTATCAAGTAAAACCGATCGCAATGTGCGAGGAAACTAAGGGTGTACATATACTTTAATTAGCAGCAAAACAGAGCAAAAGCAAAGCATCAAGGTCAGGAAAGTAGATTAACCTTAAGAAAGTGGCCTCGCCTATTGTCCCCTACAGCAAAGTAAAACACCTGCAGTGTTTAAAAACCACAAAACAACATTTAACAGAAGTGAATGATTAAAATTTTTAAAAAAACAGTCGAGAAGATAAAAAGGAACTAAAGACTGCATAAACTCCAATATATGTTTTCCATCACAGGTTGTTCATATCATCCCGGATAAAACTCTCGACTTGAGCACTATGCATACTTTGACTAAAACGACAAAACAACTACAGTACACAACATAGAAGATTTCGCGGCATTAGTACCCAAGAAACTATTGATGATGTGCGAGCTTGGGATGGCTCAGCATGGTGATGGAAAACAATACATGGAACTGGACCAGTCTAAGGGTTATCATCCTTACGATCAGAATGTGCACTGGACTCTTTGATTGTCCTGCCCTTCATTCATGATCACAGTTCTGTTGACATTTGACCGTAACTATTACGCAACAAAAACAGAGTAGGAACAATATTTACCTGATAATGATGTATTTCATTCAAGCACAGAAAAGAGAAACAAAGCTTTAATGGACAAAAACATGTTGTTGGAGACATTTATACAGATGAGTGAAGCATCTGAAAAGTTTTGGAAGAACGGATAATTTATGTAATGGAACTTGAGCGTTGAAGAAGGGAAGGCTGAGCAGCAACTATACAACTGTTACAGCTATCGTGAGGGAAGTGGAACAGGAGGTATACGTTTCTGAAAATTAAATTAATTAGGGCTGACAGCAAATTAAATTTATTATAAATTTACTTTATAATAAATTAATATTTAACTAACATTTTAAAAAAATTAATATTTAAGTAATACTGCAGGGGTAAAATGGTAAATCAACTTTGGGGTTAAGAGGTTCATGCTTATAATAATATATGATATGATATATATAGTGGAGTAACTTTGATATTGGAAATACAACACACACAAATTAATTCCCTTGAAACATTATATATCATATGGAGAATAAGCACATTTTCTTATTGATTCTTCTTTTTCTAATCCAATTTTCTATATCACTTGCTTCCTCTAATGAGACTGACCAACAAGCTCTATTAGCTTTCCAAAATCTTATTGCAAGTCCCACTCATTTTTTGGCCAATAATTGGACCAAAAATACTTCTTTTTGCTCTTGGTTTGGTGTCACTTGCACTCCAAAAAGCCAAAGGGTTGTGGCCTTGACTCTTCCTAATTTGCAACTTCAAGGCAAAATTCGACGTCTTTGGCCAATTTGTCCTTCCTCAGTGTTCTCAATCTCGAGAACAACAACTTCTGCAGTGGCATCCCTTATGAACTTGGCCACTTGCCTCGCTTGCGAGTGATTGATATTCAAAACAATCAGCTCAACGGAAGTATACCAACAAGTCTATTTCAACACCGGAGAGTTCAAGTAATTTTATTGGCTTTCAATGAACTCGGTGGTGAAATGTGGAAAGGGCCATGGTATGTACCCGAACTCAGAGTCTTGGATCTCACCAACAATAACCTCACGGGTATGATCCCTCCTTCTGTTGGAAATGCCACAAAAATGATGAACTTCAGTTTGTTTGGGAATAGAGTCAGCGGCAACATTCCAAAGGAGGTCGGTAATATGAGCCAACTTGCAGACTTGTCCTTGACTGATAATCAATTAACAGGTTCCATCAGTGGCGAATTTAGAGCCAAAAAAAAGGGCACCCGCACCCATGGTCTTTTCGTAAAATTAGTATATTTTATATGTATATTTTTTAAGATTTTGTATAATATTATATTCTTGCACCCGTACTACAAGAAGTCTCATGGTTAAATGTTGAGCTTTTGACCTTGAGGATTAAGGATCAATTTTCACTTCAATACATTTTACTTGGTGCACCCATGTTCGAAAAATCCTAGATTCGCCTCTGGGTTTCATTCCCCAGAACTGTTTAATATCTCGTCGCTACTTGCCGTATCTCTGGCAAACAATAGCCTTTCTGGTCCTCTCTTGCTAGATGAAGGCAATATTGTGACGAATCTGTACTTTTTAAGTATATCTGACAACCAAATTTCTTGTTGCATTCCTTCCAACATATGCCAACTCACAGAGCTCAAAGTTTTGTCCGTATCTTTCAACAATATAACTGGAGACATACCCAAAAATATTGGTTGTTTATCCGAGCTCCATGAGTTTTATATTGGTGATAATCTAATAAAAGGGACTATTCGCACTTCATTGGGAAATATTTCCACTATGCATAATCTTAATTGTGGAAACTATCGCATAGTGGGGCAAATTCCTCTGGAATTAGGGAAGCTATCAAATTTGAGGAAATTAAAGTTTGCCCATAATTCTAATCTAATTGGTGAAATTCCAGAGGCTATTTTCAACATCTCTTCTTTGGAAGGGATCGATTTCAGTTTCAACAACCTCTCAGGGAGAATTCCAACCACTACAGGTCTTCATCTCCCCAACCTTGAAGGACTTTACTTGGGAGTAAATCAGTTCAAAGGAGAAATTCCATTGTTTATAACAAATGCTTCCAAGCTTCAGCTACTGGACCTAAGTTATAACTTTCTGACAGGAACTATTCCTACTAATTTGGGAAATCTTCGTGAGCTGCAAATACTGCTCCTATATAATAATCAACTTACCAATGAATCAAGAGAGCGTGAGTTGTTATTCTTCAATTCTTTGGCGGACTGTAGGATGTTGAGAGATCTAGAAGTGGGTTCCAATCCGTTAAATGGCGTTCTGCCCAATTCAATTGGGAATCTTTCATCTACTATTCATAACTTTAATATAGAAGATGCACACATCAATGGCCTCATCCCCAAAAGTATAGGCAACATGACCGGTCTTACAATCCTAAGCCTTAGAGGAAACAACTTAGCGGGAAGCATTCCTTCTGAGATTGGTAAGCTTAAACAACTCCAAGGGCTGTATCTAAGTAACAATAAATTGCAGGGACATATTCCAGAGGCGGTATATCATTTATCTAATTTGGTTGAATTAACTCTGCAAGTTAATGAGCTCTCTGGATTAATTCCAGAATGCTTAGGAAATCTAAGCATGCTACAACATCTTTTTTTGGATTTTAATAAATTTTCTTCAAAATTTCCGTTGAGCCTTTGGAAGATGAGTGGTCTTCTCTATCTAAGTGTGTCACGAAATTCAATAGAGGGAGAAGTTCCATCAGATATTGGAGGACTGAAAGCCATTGTAGAACTATATCTTTACAATAACCACTTTTCAGGAAGGATACCAAGCACATTCGGGGAACTCCAAAACCTGCAGTATATTGACTTGTCGAACAATTCATTTTTTGGCAAAATTCCATTATCCTTTGCCAACTTGATAAGCTTAGAATGCTTGGATTTGTCTTCAAATGCGTTGTCAGGTACTATTCCTAAGTCTTTGGAAAAACTCTCATACCTTAAAAGAATTAATGTTTCATTTAATGATTTAGAAGGGGAAATACCAAGTGGTGGCGTGTTTGCAAATTCCACTTTGCAATCATTTCTTGGGAACAAAGGTCTTTGCGGAATGCACATACTGGAGATTCCTGCTTGTGCTATCACTAATCCTGGAAAACAATCAAAGCTTAAGGAGATTCTGCTAAAAATTGTTACTCCAGTGATTATTGCATCCTTTCTGATATTCTTGTTGGTTTCAATTTGGATAATGAAACGACATAAGAAAGGGAAGTCCAAAGATGTAGAGAAGGTACCAGAGATCGGGACTCATCAATTTGTTTCTTATCACGAGATTCGACTAGCAACAAATAATTTTGATGAATCCAATTTAATTGGTGAGGGAAGCTCTGGCTCTGTGTACAAAGGCACATTGTTTGGTGGAACTGCAGTGGCCATAAAGGTTCTCGATTTGGAAAATGAGCAAGTATCCAAAAGGTTTGATACCGAATGCGAAGTGATGAGAAATGTTAGACACAGAAAT